TCTCAACGTCTGCATCGCTCTCCATTATCTTTTGCGTTCGCTCTGGTGAACTGCTAACGCCCCTTGTCTAAAATTGGAATCTATTCAGGGAAATATTATGTTGCTTGAATGTTGCGCTAAAGTAGATTTGTTACTTTAGCTTATCTTCGTCGACGAAGATAACTAAATACCCTACTGTAATAGCATGATCTAACCATCGGCTTTTTACGTATGATGCAGTTGTGTTTATGCTGCTTGGCAGAAAACATCAGAGGTGCGGCTTCTGTGTGCAGCAAAGGGATGGCATTTAATGCGAAGTATAGTATTAATAGTAGGCGATTGTGTTTATGCTTCATGAGGAAAAGCGTAGTAGATGCTGCCTTTCCTGTCGCACAACGACAAAAATTACTTTCAATTGGTACAGTACGTATGCACCGGCTTCGTGGCGGCTATCACATCATTTTCAGTTTTATCTGGGCAAGTTCAACGATACAATACATTCTCGAATCAAGTTACGTCCTCGACAAATGAAGCTCGTTCAACTAAGTCTCCTCTCATCAGCATTTGCTACATTTGTGAGTGGTCTCTCGTTTATGAACTCACGACTGGCCTCACTTCCGATGAGGAGAGTCGTATCTACGGTGGCTCGAATGCAAGCATTAACAAACACATGTATATGGCGGGTCTTCACGCCAACGGTTCCGACAGCGACGTGTTTTGTGGTGGCACATTGATAGCGCCTTAGCTCATCCTTACCGCTGGGCATTGTCTGGAGTGGGACATGTTCGACGTGTATATATCTCTCGGGTCGAAGTACAGGTGGGGCGGGGGATCACAACATTCCGAGATGATACGCGCTATTGAGGCCTATCGCCACCCTCTGTACCGCTTGTTGAGGAGCACAAAGGGCATCACACACGATGTGGCATTGCTTAAACTAGAGAGACCATCCAAACTTCAGCCAGCACATCTGCCTGCTGTAGATGGATCAGACAACAAGCCCGGGGTGATTGCATCGGCCTTAGGCTGGGGGCTCGTTAACAACGAAACAAGCAGCGATATTCTTCAAACCGTGGACGTGGAGATCATCACGAACAAGAAATGTGCAAAACTGTACAGCTATGCCGCTGAGAACTCCACTGTGGACGATTCTGTTATTTGCGCCGGTCTTGGTGGCGGGAAGGATTCATGCAATGGTGACTCGGGCGGTCCTCTTCTCGTTCATGATGTGGTTGTGGGCATTACGAGCAGCGGTCCCGACGAATGCGGCGTGTTGCCGGCAACATACGCCCGTGTGTCCAACGCTTTATCGTTTATTCACGATATAAAAGCCGGCGGTTCTACCAAAAATGTCACGGAGCGACTGACCGCTGAAACCTTCACTTTGTTCGACACTAGTCAAAGCCAAGAAGAGAGTAGATAGTCAGAGTGGCTTATACACGAATGATTGGCCCAGTTGCTGAGTCTGTAATTCTACTGGATGAAGTCAACTGGTGTTTACATGATGTGTAAGAGAGGATGTTGATAAGTGGAGAACGTATAGGCGGTGACTCAGCAGGAAAGCACCATTGAAATTTGTCATTCTATAGTTTTGTGGGAACACTTATCGTAGTATTAACTGCCTGGTACGATTATAGATCAAAGCTGTTTGGCGTGAATACTTACTCGATCAGCTTGGCTTCCGCAACAGAGCAGCTACTAGTAGTAGTAGAGTGCTTGAAGATGCTGACCAAAGGAATAATCGTATCGACCATGTTAACGCGAAAATGTCTGTGTGTTTGGTTCAGAATTGGTTTTGATTCTGGTTGCATCCGTGGCGGATACGTAATTCGTTATCTGCTGCTACCTGGTCCAGAAGCCACTGATAGTGTTGCTGCCTGCAGAATAGTTTAGATTTTTACATTCAGTCGGTCTCGGACTTCCTTTTAACCCAACTCGTTGTACCTTGTATAGTGGTTCAACATATTATTCGTTTTAAGAAACATTTAAGAACTGCGTCGAAATGGATTTTCGGACAAAGAGACGGCGACTTTACATGACCTCATATAATGGTTAGCCAAAACGCTTAAATCTACTTCCTTATAAACAGAGTTGCCCAGTATCCTTACTTCAAACAAATTCGTCAATTTTTCGAGTTTTTGCATGGCATCACTAAGTATCTAGATTTTAGCGCTGATGCAATTCACATAATGTATACTCGCCAATCACGCAGCTATCCCTGCCTACGCGTGATCCTTGCTATCGTAGCCCTCGGTAGAATCTGCTACTTCCGCTTTTTAGTTGTCGTCTCGGTTAAGACCGCTGGTTGACATCAGACCGGCCCATCAACGCTAACAATGGTCCATTGCTTCGGAAACGACATCGTGGCGGCCTTCATAGTCACTGGTTGGTTGTTGACCAAGAAAGACTAGGTACTTGGATTGCCTGAATGCAGGTGAATCGCAGAATGCTGAAGTAGTCAAGGCTGCACTCCTGATGCTAGGTCTTCAACGCTATCACGACTGAACCATCAGAACGTCACCATTTATTTCCATGATGATAGATGCCAGTTTCGCGATGTCTCTCTCATCGACTTTCCGATCGATTATAAGCGAGGAGGATACTGACGAACGAAGCGACGGCCCATCCGTTCTTCAGGCGACTCCGTGTTGAAGGTCCAGGTTTCCGTCGATCTATCACATTCACTGACCCATTGAAAGCAAATCAAACACGCGTTCGTTACCAGAAGAAAACTACGGAACGGGTACGTTGCAACATGGGACGATGCCGCGACTCTGAAAAAGATCCACAACAACGGCTATAGACGCGAGCGAAACGACTATTTCTAGCTCCGAATCATGCAGGCCACCCACAGTCTAGCAAACGCAACGTACTGCATCAATCTGCTCGATGCTTGGACAGATTCGCGGACGACAACCGCAGTCTCCAATTGTTGGATGGGTAACAGTTCTACTACTGCTTACTCTATCAGCATGCTGCGGTTGGTATAGTCAACAGGTCACCACCTACTCGTATCAAGGCGGTAGCCAAATCAACAGCGTGACGCACGATGTCACCGTCCGTCGTCAGCATCTTCTAGCGAAGCTTACATCACAAGCCGGTGGCTCCGGTTCCACCGCACCAGCGAAAGTGATGCTCAACCCGGTCCCTTTATCTCGTGACGTTAACTCCATTATCGATCCCATGAGAGGAGTTCCACAAGAACACCCGGAGACGCCAAAACCTACTCCAAAGCCGACGCCAAAGCCAACACCAAAGCCCACAACTGCACCATCAAAGGCACCGACCTCGAAACCAAAGCCTGATCCGAACGTGGAGAAGCTGTGGGCCCCCGTCAAAACCCTTGCTGAACTGGAAGAGTTCGAGTGTGTTGCATGGCGACAAACCGCCAATTGCTCGCCTCGTGGAGATCTCAAACCGAAAAGAGATGATACATGTGATCGCGAAATCTTACCTACCGACTCTGGATTCTGTGAGTATCGTCACCGTAAAACAGGAGAAGTACGTCGAATTATCGCAGCCAAGTGCAAGTCCCGTGCCAGTCAAATGGGTTACTCGTGCGCGAATGCCACAATGCTTGTTCGCTATAATCTCATGGCTGACAACTACAAGCCAGACTACCCGCTTTCGTTTGAGAACAACCAGCGCGATTTCCTCCAACAGAATAATCTCACTAAAGAGAAGGCGTTGGTACTAAGTGGACAGAAAGTGGAGCCCCCTGCTTCGTTTACACGGGGAATCGCGTACGTAGTATACGAACAGTTATTCCTCAGTGTCTACGCAGCGATTCGAGCGTTGCGTTCTACCGGTTGCACCCTTCCAATCGAACTCTGGTACCGAGAAGACGAGACCAACACGTCACATCCACTATTACAAGAACTCCGCAGTAAATACGGTGCTTATTTACGGGTCATTAAAGACCCACGTGCCGTCAAGTTCTATACAAAACTCTATGCTGTTTTTTATAGTGCTTTCGACAACCTGCTCCTATTAGACGCCGACAACTTCGCAGCGCGTGACCCAACGCACTTATTCACTACCGAGGTGTATAACGACACTGGTGCGGTCTTCTGGCCGGACTTCTGGATGCCCAACCGCACAATTTTCAAGACCAAGAAAGGCAGTGACGTGTGGGAACTCATGGGCGTTCCGTTTGTCGACATGTTCGAACAGGAAAGTGGCCAAGTGCTTGTGAACCGAATCAAGCACACCAAGGCATTGCATACATTATTACACTATGGACTCACAGAGCCTCACCTTCCAGCGGAGTTCGATATGCTCTGGGGTGACAAAGATCTCTTCCGCTTTGCCTGGATGCGTACAAACTCCAGTTTCCACATGATCAAGCGCCCAGCAGGCAGTGCAGGACTAAAAGCACCCCATCTCAACATTTTCTGTGGCAACACAATGGTACAGCACGATCCTGACGGTGACATAGCGTTCCTCCATCGGAATATCGTCAAGTTTTTACCAGATGGAAATAATACGCAGAAACTCTGGCAATATGTGCAGCAGTACAATATGAACCAAGATTTACGGTTTTATGAAGTTCGTGGCGATGTGGATCATCGATGGTTCCCGAGTATTAGGAAGTGCTATGGTAGACGTATCAATTATCTCCGAGCGTACTCTCTCAAGCCCATCAAGGACTTCCCGTTTGCTGGTCTTGAGGACGAAATAATAAGGCACGTACAAGAAGGAGAGAAGATTATCAAGCAGTCTGGATACATAAGTGCAGCAACTGAAGCTCCAAAGACAAAGGTCAGTAAGATAAGAAAAAATTAACCTAGAAAATCCATTCTTTTTAATTCTTTTAGGCACAAATATTGAACTGTTTTATTGTCTATTAAGTTGCCCACGCTTACAGGTCCTCGGATAGATCGGTGAGATGCAGCGGTGCTCCGATGATCTCCGCGTATTTGTGATACGGGTGGCGTTCGATGTACTTCTGGATCAGATAGCCGAGCGTGAGCGCGATCACATTAAGCAAGAAGCTGGTCCAGGACTTGGTCAGCTCGTTCATCATGATGAAGATTCCAAGTGTGAACGGCAACATCATTGCCATAACCAGAGATTTGTCCGACAAGTTCACACGATATGGTCGTTCGATTTCAGGGTGGGAGAAGCGCATTCGAACTGCAGCACTCATTTCCACTAGAGACGAGAGAGCGGAGAGGAAGTTGTCTATCCCCAAAATCGTGTCGAAATCGAACATACCCATGAATACAATGATGAAAAATGCCAACAAGATGGCTCGTCGAGGCACACCGGTGTCCGGATGGCGTCTAAAAAATAGAGAAACAATTAGTGCACGCAGTTTACGTCAACGCTATCTAAGTAAAGCGAAACGTACTGAGCGAAATAGGGAGGTGCAAGGCCAGAATCAGCCATTCCAGCCAGTTGGAATCCGTCCTTGGCCATCTCAGCGACGTACAGTCCGAGGTTACCGAACACAGACGAGATCAACACCCAGATGCACAGCCACGTTCCGCCGATCATCTGTGCGATAACAGAGTAGGACCCGTCGTCCCATGTCGTGTAGTGAGGCATGTCTGCACCTGCAATGGCAATGAACGGGATGATATACCTAGTAAAATATTCACATCAGTGTCTCTTTATCTCCTCTAAACCATTTAAGTGTACTCACGTGAACGCGATCATTACCACAGTGAGCACCATGGCTTTGGGATATGTTGTCTTGGGAGACTGAATCTCTCCAGCATACGCTCCAGCTGCATCGAAGCCGCTGTAATTCCAGTACAAAGCACTCAACAGCCGTCCCCAATCACGCTACAATAAAAAAATAATATCAGCAACTAATTAAGAAAAAATGGTACCTAAATATAAGAAAAAAAAGCTTACGTCTTGTCGGATGACGAACCAATTTGCCGGTTCAATCAGTGGCATGGCGTATACGATGAGTACTGCAAAGGGCAGGAAGATCATAACTCCCAAGACCAGTAGTGTGTGTCCCACTACCTTGATACTTCTGAGAGTTGGTAACATGAAGAGCACAGCGAACACTGCACGCATAACGAAGACACTCCAGGCGACCCCATTCTCTCCGTTTAGAGCGTCCTTGTCCCCCAGTACTAAAGCCAATAGCGTGTCCACGATCAGACACGGATAGATGGCATTGTCGATTACTGCAGTCATCAAGGAATTAAATCACTGACAGCTCCAAGGTCCCAATTGAAACAGTAACAACATACCCCCTGACACCCAGCTCCAATAACCCACGTGGAAACCCATGGGTCGACCGAACGCGACGCCCACCCATTTGCAGAAACTACCGTCGGTCGGGAATGCAGTGAAAAGCTCAGCGAATGTGAGTGCAAGCGGCAGACACCAGACCCAAGGGAAGAGCAGGACAGCCAGGATGCCCACGAACGGCCCGCACGCGGCGAGAACGGGCTCACTACCCCATGGACCGCCACTGACGTTGAAGTAGGTGATGAGAGCCACGGACAGGATGCCCAATTGGCGGTGAGAGTGCGACCCTGGCATGGAGACGGAAGAGACTTCGACGTCAGCAGCGGTGCATCCTTTGGAGACTGAAGGCGCTGTAATGGCCAATGGGAGCGCGATGGTTGGATGGGGTGGACCACAGAGGTGGGTACATTATGTGGCCCACGTATTTTTGAGAGATCTTGTAACCAGATCTGATTCAAGAACTCAATTTGTCATTTTCACCCAATCATCTTTTTATCACTTTCCATCAATGAGTATCTTTTCGCCCAATCACGTCGCATCTTGTCAATCCTTCTCTTCATTAGTAAAGACGCAATGGCGACGTCTCGCAACGAGAATGTGCAGCTCAACCACGCTGCGCCAGCGCGTCCTGACGCAGTTACAACCAAGCGGCAGTGTCTCCCTGTAGCCACGTCTTCTTCTCGCGCGATTTACCGCGTGTTTGACGTGGAAACTCTGCTGCAAGGACTGTTAGCAATGCTGGACTTATCTTCATTGGTTAGTCTTCTGGAGGTTCTGGCAGTTGACGACTCCTGGCGAAGCGTGCTGAGCCACGATCATCTCTGGAAGGAGATGCTCAACACGCACTTTGGAGGAAACTTGCCACCCGCTGAGCAGTTTAACGACACTGAAGAACAAGAAGAGTCCGAACAAGAAGACGAAGACGATGAGGAAAGAGAAGAAGAAGACGACGAGGATGAGCCTGATCTTATTGAGATCCTGGAAGTCGACGTCGAAATGGACGACGACGCTTCTCTATTGGGAGAAGAAGAAGAAATAGAGAATGAGGATGACGCGTCGGACGTGGAGTTGATCCCACGACCCAGAGCAACACGCAGTATCAACCAGACGTCGACAAGACCGGAGAATACGGAGTCTGTTGCCGACACCAGACAAGCGCCTGCAGTCTCTTGGATTGCCGGAGTGCCGAGCAAAAAGGTTCTTGACGCAGCCTGTCCGGATCTGAAAGAGTTTTTGCAGTCTGCCGTGCAGTTAGTTCATTTTGACACACACGTTGAGATCCTTAGAGGAGATATTGGAGAGATCCAGACTGTTGGGGATCAACGAGTAGACGGGTTGGCCTTCCCAACGTCCTCGTTCCTTAGAAACCCACACACTGGTGCAGCGTCGGTGATCTTTCGACGTGCGGGGCAAGGTCTTACTGACTATGTTCCGACCATGGGTATCCAACTTGATGTTGGGGACGCAATTGCGACTCCGGGCTTTGATGCTGGTGTGGATAAACTCATTCATTGTGTGGGTCCGAGTGGATTTAATCTACATTGTTTGAGAGATTTACAACGCACGTACAGGAGCGTACTACGTTGCATTCAAGAAGAAAATCTGACGTGTGTAGCCATGGCGTCCATCTCTACGGGCAATATGGGGATGCCGGTTGACAATGCCGCGTGGTTTGCGTTGTGTGCTATCCAGCGTTATATGCGCTCTACGGATTGGACAGCGACGATTGCCATCGTGTGTTTTGAGGCGCAAGTGTATGCTGCGTTTACCAAAAGCAAGAGGAAGCTGGTGGAGCAGTTTAACGCGGATGCACTGCGCGCGATCCCACCACTGCGAAACCGGTAAATTCGTTGCGAGACATTGGAATCGACCGGTATTCGGCACTATTTCATTTTTTATTTAGGTCAAAACCTGTGGAAGTCGTGTCAGTTTGTAATAGTGAAAAAGACAAGTAAGAGAAAAATATCCTTAATATATGGAGATCTTAATGAATTTACTTATAATTTAGTTTAGGCTTTACGCTTCACCAAAAATCCACTAGGTCCACGATGGATTTTTTTAGTCGAAGTGATGCCCATCTGCAAAAATGGGTACCCAAAAATGCAACAAGGTTCAAGAGGCACTTGTCCGTCCGTTTGTCCTCATTTGGATATTCTCCTCCTCCTTCCTACGACGCAGATCTCTAATGGCTGGTCTAGTTAAAGGACTCGCCGGCGATCTCACGGGCTCTGCTGACGTTTGCAAGATTGTCGCCGACTTTTCCAAGTGCTTGGCGTCTGAGTATCTACTGCCAAATGAGACGATCGCCTTCTCCTTGGTCTCGGTAAAGGAAGAGTTCACATTCACTAACATGGCGTTGATCCTACTGGAGGGCGAGAATGCTACCACCACCCGCAAACTTGTGGAACGCTACGACTACAAGAACAACACCATCACGCACGTAAAGTTTGAGAGTGCCGGACACGTCGATCGCGACTGCGAGATCAAGTTCAACATCGGCGCCAAGGGCATCTCCATTGACATAGCAAAAGGTGAACAGACGTCAGCTCAAGGAATCTACAAGGTGCTGGAGCTGTTGAGTCGAGCTCAAGTCGCAAATGAACGTCTGTGGGAGATTAGTACGCTAGGCATGAAGCACGCGAGTGAAGCCCTATATCTCACTGAGAACAGCGGCCAGACTCTCCAGAAGCAGTCGGACGAAGCTACTGCGTGGCTCTATGAAGCCTACAAGCGCACCCACCCTCACTGCTACCGCGATGTCATCCAAACAGCCTTCTCGGATCTTCGCCTAGCGGACAAGATGGCACAGTAAAACAAGTAGTTGCCTAATGTAAAAAAAAAACTACCTACTTCAGTACTTCAGTAGTAGGCAAAATTTCTGACAGTTTTTTCGATAGGCATTTGGTTTTATAAAAACAGTCCGGTAAATAGTAGATATGTTACGACCAAAACACGTTGCTCTGAGGTTCCTAGTTCTTGCTGTGAGCCTTCATGGCCTCATTAAAGAGGATATTCTCAATCATCTGATGACACGAGGCAACGTTGGCTTCTGTGCCACTCAGCACAAAATCTGTGAGTTCACCTGTCACTGATCGTTCGTCCGACAAGGAACGAATTGGAAGCGCCGGCGAAATTAAGTAACAAGTTTGCAACAAAGCAAACCGAGGAGACATGGCTCGAGGACGACGCACCACGAGATATCCCTTCTCTTGGAACTGAGCCCCGTACACCGGGTTGCCTGCAAAGCTCACCGGGTCAATGTACGACCGCCAGACAATCACGACTCGGTTTTCTTCCACGTATCGACGCACAATTTGTTTGACACGATAATCCGCCTGAGTGCCCTTAGCATGCAGTTCCATACCGAAGCTCTCGATAATAGTATCGTCTGTAGTCTCCACATTCTGTAAGTAAAAAATAATAATCACGTTTAAAAAAATCAGTCGGATACAACAGACAATGATACTCACCTGAAGATCCTTGTGATAGAGAAACCGGAACGGCATGTGTTCCAATGATCGCGAGAAGTATCGCCACGCAGCTGTCCCTGTTGAAACCACGTCAAACGGCAACACTTTGCTGGCGAAAATCTTCATATAAACACCGTCCGCTCCTTCGTGCATCTCGGCGTCACTGAAGGACGACTCCTTTGTGTCCAATCCGTTGTCACGGAACACGGCGTCCACTTCTCTATACGCGGAATCGATACCTTCCATCAGTTCCTTAAAGATGCTGGCATCAGATCGATCGGGTGTCGACATGTGCATGCGTTTCAACCTCTGGCCGTCACCCAAACAGCTCTCAATCGCCTGCAAAACACCAACACTGCACATCAGAAACATAATATCCCAATCGAGCAACACTCTTCGACCTACATTCGTCGTGGCTCTTGCCTGAAGCAACTTTTCCAGACTTTTTGCAATCTTGATCTGCCCTTCCAACACCAATTTCAATTGCCTATTCTCCCGCTCGGACTTCAGTCGCTGCTCCAGTTGATGGCTGGCCATCTCCTTCCACACAGCGTGGGCTTCCACATCCTCTTCTTCCTGATTTTTCTCTTCTTTAGGCCCCTTCACTTCCGCTTTGATCGCTGGCACACGCGTCTTCTGTAGTGCCTGGAGCTTCTGTTGCATGTCTGCCACCTTTTCCCTCAGGTATAAAAGCTCCCGGCGCTCCTGGTCGCGCACACGATTCCGCGTACTACTGCGCGACGTCTTGCAGGCCTTGGCGGTGGGTGTCGCTGCCTTGTTGCAGCTCAGCTCTTCTCCTTTGCGCTTCTTCTGGGAAGTCTGCCTCACCATCTTGGGTTTTGCTCCAGTCAACGAGCTCGGGGCGGACGGCAGCCCCTCCAGCGCAATGGACAGCGCAGCCTCGTCCGTTCCGGCCCCCATGAACTCGTCCACGAAGCACAGAGCCGCCGTGAAGGCGTCCGAGTCGTCCTCGAGTGCAATGGTCATCGTCTCAAATGCTGTTTGGGTTCTTTTTGACTTACAAAATTGTTTGAGCCATCCCCTGCGTTTTGCAGATTAGACTTGAAATTTGTATGCGTTTCTTGGATAAACATCAATTGACAAAGTGACGATCAAGTTTCACCAATTGGACCAATGACCACGCGAGTTTGTGAACTACTTCACCGGAAAAGCACGCTCATCGTTTCATATCTTGAGAATTTTGGGTGAGTGCATCTAGAATTATTCGTCGCCAAAACATTCACCGAGTGATCCATGCAAGAGCGATAGATCCACCGATGTACAGAGCGATAAGAACGAACGAGCTCTAGGTTAGATTGTATGTGAGATGAGGTAAAGGTCTCCATTCGAATCATTACAGGATCTACAAATACGCTAATTAGGCACCGTACCACTTAGAGACTAGTTACCCGCAGGATGTAATTATACCATCCTCTTCTTGAAGAGTATTTGCAAAGTGATGGTGACCGTCGGGCTCTTTCAAAAAACCAGCCAGTAAAATGTTCTCGACCATTTGATGAGCCATCGCAACACTGGCTTTGGTACCACTAAGCACAAAGTCCGTGAGCTCATCCGTCATTGAGTGTTTTTCCGGCAACGAACGGATCGGAAGCGCAGGTGCTCTGAGGTCCCTAGTTCTTGCTGTGCGCCTTCATGGCCTCATTAAAGAGGATATTCTCAATTATCTGATGACACGAGGCAACGTTGGCTTCTGTGCCACTCAGCACAAAATCTGTGAGTTCACCTGTCACTGATCGTTCGTCCGACAAGGAACGAATTGGAAGCGCCGGCGAAATTAAGTAACGAGTTTGCAACAAAGCAAACCGAGGAGACATGGCTCGAGGCTGAACGTCCTAGTGATTGAGAAACAGGAATGGCATGTGATCCAGAGATCGCGAAAAATATTGCCACGCAGCCGCTCCTGTAGAAGCCACGTCGAAAGGGAATACCGTACTCGCGATAACGTTCATATAAATGCCATCCGATCCTTCGTTTATTTCAGAATCGTCGAACGACGATTCCAGCGTATCGAGGTTGTTATCGTGGAACACAGCGTCCACATCTCTATACACCGAATCGATGCTCGCCATCAACTCCTTGCCTATATACATATCCGACTGATCCGGAGTCAATTGCTGCACTCTTTTTAAGCGCTGCCCGCCGTGCAAACAAGTTTCGATCGCCTATTTGAAATGAGGGGCTGGGGGGATAAGAAAACAGTAACCAGTTCCCACTTCCGTATTTACCAACTTACATTCGTCGTTATGTGAGCCTCCAGTAGTCTCTCCAGGCGTTTGGCGATCTTGAGTTGGTTTTCCACAGCAGATTTCAGACGTCTGTTATGTCTTTCAGATCGGAGCCTCTGCTCCAGCTGAGAAATAGCCATATCCTTCCACACTGCCTGCGTAGCTTCTTCAATATCTCCCCCTTTTGCATTACTCATACCATTTCCAGCAGCTGAGATCACTGCACGACGTGTCTTCTGCCACGCACACATAATTAATTTCCTCCAGATCTGCCATTTGATCTCGTAGATACTGCAGCTCGCGTCGATCCTGATCCCTTGCACGGTTCTTGCTTTTACACCGCAATATCTTAAGAGCGTCAGCCGTCTGAGTGTATTCCAAACCTTGATCCAGTTGGTCAGTCGCCATATCAATTGACAGTGGTTGAGTTAGCGGGTTTCTGATAGCTCATCTAGACCAAGTAGTGATGCTTCCCCGTATGCCCCGTCACTCATAAAATCATCCACGAAACAGAGGGCCGCGTCGAAATCTCCCCCAACTACACTGGACATCGTGCTGCTAATCCTAAAAAGTAAAGTGAGGAGTGATTTATAAACAACGTACAAGGTGGTCATCTTCAGGTTTGTACATACATACATGGTAAACATTATGTTGAGATCCGTATCCACCTTCCCACCTACTGAACAGCCCGTCTTTAGACACGACTATTGGTCTTCATGGCCTCGTTGAACAGGATGTTCTCGATCATTTGGTGTCCGGCGGCAATGTTTGCAGCTGTTCCGCTGAGAACGAAATCGGTCAGCGCACCAGTGATAGCACCGTCGTCACTCAAAGAGTGCACCGGCGTATCCGGATGAATGAGATAACATGTCTGCAGCAGTGCATAGTTCTCGGCCATACCGCGTGGACGGCGAATGACAATGTAACCTTTCTCTCTGAATTCTGCTCCGCGTAATGGTGCGCCAGAGAACTCGACGGGGTCAATGAATGACCGCCAGACAATCACCACGCGATCTTCGTCCACGTAGCGACGTAAAACTTCTTTAACGCGGAAATCTGCCTGCGTGCCGTTGGCGTGTAATTCCATACCGAAACTCTCGACAATCGTATCGTCCGTTGTCTCCAAGTTCTACACGAACAGCAAATATAACGTTAGTCTTCCAACATAAAATATTCTAGTAAAGAATCGTACCTGTGGGTCTTTCTGGTAGAAGAAACGGAAGGGCATGTGCTCCATCGACTTGGCAAAGTATTGCCACGCTGCAGTTCCCGTAGACGCCACATCGAACGGTAGAACTTTGTTGGCAAAGATTTCCATGTACACTCCGTCGGGACCCACGCGCATCTTTGCGTCACTGAAAGATGACTCCATTTCTCCCAATCCATTAGCTCGGAATACATCGTCCACCTCACGGTAGGAATCATCGACACCTGCCATGAGCTCGGCAAAGATCCCTGGACCGGTACGATCCGGCGCGGAAGCGTGCATACGTCGCGTACGCTGTGGCCCATACACACACGACTCCATTGGCTGTAATATGATAAAAAGAATTAGTGAAATAATAAAATAATAAAAGAAAGTCACCAACCTGCGTGGTCGACGTAGCCTCTAGCAGCTTGGCTAGACTCTTGCCGATCTTGATCTGTCCCTCCAGCACAGCTTTAAGCCTGCGATTCTCCCGTTCAGACTTGAGTCTCTGCTCCAGTTGATGACTGGCCATCTCCTTCCACACTTCAGGAGCGTTAAACCCCGCGAGCGCTACGTTTTCTCTTTCGTCTTCTTGTTTATCTCCCTCGACCTCTGTTAACGTCTTTGGTCGACGTGTGCTTTGCAACGCATTGAGCTCCTGCTCCATCTCCACGACCTTCTCGCGGAGATACAGAAGCTCCTTGCGTTGCTGTTCCCTCGCTCTGTTGGGGTTATAGTTTAGTGGCCTTTTAGGCTTTGAGACCTTCCTAGCCTTCGTTTTAGCAGAGGTTTTAGCTGCGGGAGCTTCGGTTTGAGTCTCGACTAATGCCAATTCAGTGGGCGACGGAAGACCATCCAGCGCGCGTGTGAGAGCAACATCATCTTCGCTTCGCTGATCCGTACAGTCGCCGCATGCTACGAACTCGTCCACAAAGTGCAGCGCGGCTTCGAAGGCCTCGGAGTCCTCGACGAGGTTGAGCGACATCGAACTGGCTGGAGCCTGATGGGGAATGGATTTGATGAGTGAGCAAAACCATAAGGTGTTCGACTCAGATTTTCAACAAACCTGATAATCTGAGTCCGAACCACTTCAACGTAAAAAAAATCGGGATCACATTCATCGGCTTTGTATTCATTCACTAAGGCTTACAGCTGCCATCTTTTTTTAACTACGCTACACCACTTCACAAGGGCTTACATTGTCTTTCGCCCGCCGACTACTTTTCTCCAACAAAACCACGTCAGGCTCTTCACTTGTCCTTCGACTTGCCGGTGACGTCCGACTTGGCTTCCTTCGACGACTTCGCCTTCGATTCCGTCTTGCTCTCCTTCTCGACTGACTTGGTGGTGGCAGCATCCGTGGGTTCGGTCGCAGACTCCTTCTTACCATCATCAGCACCGACACTGGAGGCA